TGGCCTGCTGCTCTGTGAGTGGTCTGCTGACTCCCATCTTGTGCAATTCTGGCTACGGTCGGACCGGCCTGCAGCCCTGTCCATGTGCCTGCCTACCCACCCCCCAGCCTACCTCCCACCGTCCCTTTCTTCCTTCTCTGAGACAAAGTTCCACTATACAGGAGGGCTTAGAATTTACTATAAAGCTTGGCTGGCCTCAAACTCCCAACAGGCCTGCCTCAGCCTCCCTCTTACTAGGATTGCAAGCGCGTGCTATCACGTCCTGCTCAGCAGACACTTGAGAGCTCTACTGTCTCCGCCACACCCATGTTCCAGCTGATACAGGTGACAGGCAGGTTCCCACGCCTACTTCTCTTTACTGACGCTCTTTCTCGAGTCACTGCTGATTTAGATCTGAATCCTATTTTCTGAGAGTCCTGTGCTTAGAGTCCTGCCACTTTAGCCTTTAGGTCAGTGGCCAAACATACCTCCTCTCAGCTATGTGAGGCCAGCTGCCTGCCCATGATGGAGGGCACCTTCTCCTTGAACTAGAAAGTTCTTCTGAAAGACAAAACTGTCCACAAGGTTCTAGCTCCTGACCATGCCTGGAAAGCTATGATTTGAACATGCAGATGAAGAAATTCCGACTCCTTACCAAGATTGTCCACAGCATAATGATAAAAGCAACTGAACTTGATGTGCTTATTGCAGATGATGTCAGGGTTGGGAGTCCATCCTTTCTCGTACTCATTCAAAAAGTCACTGGAAAAAAAGGAAAGCACCCTCAGATCTAAGTGACACATCCCTTAAAAAACAAATAAGTTGCTTGTTTAATGTAGAATTTCTCTCCATTGTCCCCAAACTATACCTTCCTCCCCCATGAGAGCTTCATTATCAAACCATTTCCTACTATGTCAAGGGGCTTCTCAGAACTCACATATTTTAATGAGAACAGGCTCAGATGTTTGAATACTTGTTCCCCAGTTGGTGGTGCTGTTTGGCAGGCTTAGAAGGTACAGCCCTGATTAGGAACTAAGCCACTGGGGGTAGGTTTTGAGGTTTTAAAAGCTACCTGCCATTCCCAATTCACCATCCCTGCTGCTGCCTGCTGCCATGTCTGCGGCCGGCTGCTATGGCAGACTTGCATCCCTCTGAACTGTTAGCACAAAAAAACTTTTCTATTAGCTGCCTTTGTCATAGTGTTTGTTACAGTGACAGAAAATCCCCAAACCCTTGTGAGTGGGTCAGGCACCGTTCTAGAACTCTGCAGGACAGCAGCAACTCATTCCCACAATGCTCCTGGTAGCTTTCAGCATCATCCTTGATTTAAAGATGAGAAAACTGAGATTTAGAAAAATCAAATAAACTGTCGCCAGGCCGTAGGAGCACGCGTCTTTAATCCCAGCACTCAGGAGGCAGAGACAGGCACTTCTTTGTGAGTTCAAGGCCAACCTGATCTACAAGGACTAGCTAGTTCCAGGACAGCCAGTGTTACGCAGAGAAACCCTGTCTCAAAAAAACAAAAACAAAAACAAAAACAAAAACAAAAACTAGGGGCTGGAGAGATGGCTCAGAGGTTAAGAGCATTGCCTACCCTTCCAAAGGTCCTGAGTTCAATTCCCAGTGACCACGTGGTGGCTCACAACCATCTGTAATGGGGTCTGGTGCCCTCTTCTGGCCTGCAGGCACACACACAGACAGAATATTGTATACAGAATAAATAAATAAATGTTTAAAAAACAAACAAAAAAAACAAAAGCAAAAACAAAAAAAAAAATCAAATAAATTGTCAAAGGTCTTCTATGTGATGTGGCACAGTTGAGACAAGGGCAACCCACAATGAATATGGCCTGTTATCTCTGCATGTGCAACCCACAATGAACATGGCCTGTTATCTCTGACATGTGCAATGGCTTCCAGGCATTGTCAGGGTTCACCAGAGACTAGACTGGCTGTCTTTCTCTGCAGAAGTAAGTGGCTAGCCAAACTTCACACATTCCTGAGATAGAAGAGGAACATGTTCCCCTCACTGCTGCTCTTGTACCCCACATAACAGCCTCTATTTAAGTCTTCCTTAAAGCTTCTCCTCTTCCATGAGACTGCCAGACCATACTTTATGACACCCTCCTCTGAAACTAGAGAGTTTCCTACAGGATGCTCACCACCATCAGCACCTTGGGTAAAGAGTCTATCACCAAGTAGAGAGCCAATTCCTACAGAACAGGGCCATGATGTACAGACTTTGTATTCTTAGATGGAGCACAGTGTTTAGCATACAGTAAGCAGTAACAATTATGGTGTTTGGGCTGGACTGTGGAGGCAGAGGCACGTGGATCTCTGTGAGTTTGAGGTCAGCCTGGTTTACAAAGAGAGTCCCAGGACAGCCAGGGCTATACAGAGAAACCCTGTCTTGAAAAATTAGAAAAAAAGAAAAAGAAAAGAAAAAGAAATAAAGAAAAAGAAACCTCTGGCAGGTGGGAAATATCCCAAGAGGGTGAGAAGGGTGAGGGTGCTGTGGGCCAGGCCGCTGGTGCTCCAACTCCAGCAGTCTTGGGCACCTCTGTGGAGAAGCACTGACTGTTTTCACCCTTCCTTGGAAGGACTCAGTACAGTAAACCCTGCGTGTGCAGTGGCCTGCGCTCACCTGAACACCTCGTTCCAGTACTCCTTCACGTAGGACACCTGATGGAAAGGGATGTCTAAGATCCGACAGACTTTATAAGCATCTTCACAGTCCTTGTCAGCAGCACAGACACCGTGTTCATCCAGCGAGTCCCAGTTCTTCATAAATACCCCTGTCACCTGGTAACCTGCAGTGAGGGTAAAAGGCAGGGCCATCTGTGCTCCGAGCAGTTCTGACACTCCATACCCTTCCAGCCCCGATGCCTCTGTATATTTTGGATGGCAGTCCACGCCTGTCCACGTGGCCTAAGGCCTGGGTTCCATTCTAGTGTAATCCCCATAGGCTCATCTTCCCTTTAATGCTCATGGCACTGCTAAGGCCTCCACACTGTAGTACACTGCGTATTGAAACTGTTTGTGTCCCCAAAGTGAACAAAATGAGCTTTCTCCATCCTATGTAGCAAAACAATGCCTAACACACAGCAGGGGCATCTCAGATATGTGCTGAATGCCTGAACAGTGAGCAGAAACTCAAGCTATCATTCAGCCAGATGTGATCTCACACCTAAGATTCCAGGATTTGGGAGGTTAGGGCAGGAAGTTTTAAGATTTTGCTTAAAAAAGAAAAAAAAGGAAAAGAGCCAGAGTCAGACAGAAAGCTCTAGGGTTAAGAGCACTTGTTGATACTCCAGAGGACACAGGTTCAATTCCCAGTATCAACACAGCAGGCACAGGCACGACCACCTGTAAGTTCAGTTCCAGGGGATCCAATGCCTCCTTCTGGCCTGCCTTAATACCAGGCGCACACATGGTACACAGACATACATGCAGGCATCATTACCATCCACATATTTTATGATCCATTTTCTTCTCTACTCTACTGTGACAAATACCACATAGGACAGCACTGGCACTGAGTCTTAGAAAACTCACAGAAGCTCAACCTGCATCAAAGCCCTGTCTCTCTTGAATAAGCTGAATGTAAGAAAAGACAGAGTAGTTGTATTAAAAGCTTCAAGTAACACCCCCCCACACACATACACATACCCAAAAAAAATTCCAGGGAAAATTTTTGCTGACAAATCTTTAACAAATGAAATGCCATGCCCATTAAGGTCCTACACACCCTATGGTTCTATAGGATGAGGCCCTCTTTTGCATCCGGAAGCACCTGACTCTGCTTAACACAGAGATTAATCATGCTGGGCTCAGTTCTTGAGCTACTCTTGCAGTTAACTTATTAATGAAGAGGCCTCCTAGAGAGCGGCGACGGCATGATCCAACCCTGAATCCCCAGAGCTACTACAGTGCCCAGTGCATAAGGAGAGCTGTTGTGGGAGTAACTTCCGCTGCCTCAACCAATAGTCGCTGAAATACGAGCCCACAGTGCAGCGGGGAGCGACTTCCGCTCCGTCAGCCAATAGCTGCTAAAACACCAGCCCACTGGGGCGTGGTATATTTCTCTTTTAAAAAGAGAAACAGATCCGGATCAGGCTCTCTTGGTTCCGGCTCTTGGTTCCGGTGCTTGCTCCTGGCTCCTGCTCCCGACTCCTGCGACTAGGCTCCCTTCCTGACAGTTTATGGTGTATGTAAGTTTTACCCCCCAAAATAAATAACCCCTTAAAACATAACTGGTGTGGGATTGATTTGCCGATAGAGAGCTAAAAACCGACAAGTTTGTAGGATGAACAAACTCTACATGGAGCTTTAGCACCTCCCTATGCCCATACCAAATCTGCCTGATCAACTATCCAACAGAGAGACATACCCACATATGGGGGGGGGGTAGGCACTCGAGGTTGGGTGAGCTTTCTAGGGAATGTGTGACAGGACACTCCCTGCAAAAAGCCCTTGACGTCGTAATGAAAGGATAATGCTTTCCCCCTGATACGGCCATCAGCTTCTCCATGAAAAAAATCCAAGGGAAGACCGAAATAAGAGACGCTGCAGCCTGGAGGGACAGAGCTAATGTTTTGGCTAGGTTTCTATGGATGTGATAAACAGCATGAGCAAAAGCAACTTGGAAAGGATTTATTTTGCCTTAAAGGGCACAGTCCATCATCAAGGGAAACCAAGGCAGGAACTCAGGTTAGGAACCTGGAGGCAGAAACTGAAGCAGAGGCCATGAAAGACTGCTTACAGGCTAGTTTGCAATGGCTTGCTCAGTCCACTTCCTAAGACAACCCAGAACCACTGACCTGCCCAGGGGTAGCATTATTCATAATGGATGAGCCCTCCTACATCAACCATTCATTAGACAAGAAAATGCTCCACAGACTAGCCTGCAGGCCAATGCGATGGTGGCATTTTCTGAGCGCCCTCTTTCCAGGGGACCCCAGCATGTGTCACGTTGACATAAAAACTAGCCAGCAGGACTTATCTTCCTTCAGTTGTAAAATGATAAATCCAGACGAACACAGTTATCTCCCAAAGCATGCAGTCACAGTCGTCATTGGAAACCTTCTAAGACTCACAGCTGCCTACTCAACACCAATTCCCTAATACCTTGTGGCTTCACTACCCGGGGATTAACCCTCTCTACCCTAGCCTGGCCAGATTCGCAGCACTCTATCTATCCTCTGACTCCTGCCTGTGTTACTGACTCTGCCTCAGGGGACAGCCCTTTGTAGAGGACTCCTACTGAGCTTCCATCCCTGCGCAAGCACCTCTGCTTCTAAGCGTGGCTTCCTTCTCCCTTTCCCACCCAGCACACGTATGTATGATATGCCCATTCTCTTTGGCGTTCATACCTCTCCTTGCAGCTGTGATTATAATGTAAAAGAATCGCTCCTGCTTTCCAAACTCTCTCATATTGCATGGCTAACCCTTTCAACACATTCTATGCCATTTAACCTTTCCAGACACCCCAAATTTAGGGTCATTCCACTTTACAGAGGGGTGCTTAATTAACGTGCCCAAATTCTGACTTGCCTGAGCCTTGGCGAAGGTGATTCACAGCTGAGGCTCCACGTGAATACGGAATGAAGTCGAAATAAGGGGGCAGGGAGACACAGAGGTAGGAATTTAGATGGGTAGTTGGTATCAGATCCGGCTACGTTTAGAAGTCAGGAAGAAATTGTAGCCGTTTGAGAAAAGTTTGTCATCAACGAAGGGGAAACATGAGTGATTTAGTCACCAAAGCAGGTTGCCGTCCTCAAGTGAGGCCCGCGGAGTCTGCAGAGGCCAGGCCTAAGGCCTGGATGAGCCCAGTTCCGGTCCCCAGTGAGGAACCCTGGCCTCACCTCTCCGCCGCAACAGCAGCGCAGCCACCGCGCTGTCCACGCCACCAGAAAGGGCGCACACGACGTGCCTCAGCGCCGACATCTGCCTACAGGAAACTCCTACCAGCAGCTTTCGGGCTGAGTCTATGCTACGCCAGAAGTCCGGCCTTCGGGGCGTCTTCAACTCTTCACCCGGCCGGAAACGTGCTCCGCCCAGCCTGCGTTCTGCCCACCTTCTGGTTCCGCGCGGTGGATTGGCTGAGAAGTGCTTGGCTTGTCGCGTCCCGGAGAGGTCAGGGATGAACTGGGCGGGTCGAGCTTCCCAACCGCTATCCGCTGATCCTGCTCCGCCTTTTCTTTTGCGCCCTGCTGTGCTCATGGGTCCTTTGCACCGGAACAGTCTCTGCTCTGGCTTGAGGTCCCAAAGATGTCCTGGCCACACAAGGGCGAGGACACCGTGTTGTGTCTGCAACTGGCTCCTCATGGTTACCGGCTAGAGGGATTGGACTGTCACCACGTTCCCACTGTATTCTAGACAGACTAGGTTTCTTGAGAGCTGGCATCGGGTCCTCCCGGTGCAAATGCTTGAAGCTGCTGCAGCCGCAGAGGGTGCAGAGGTCAGTGGACAGAACAGACTGGACTGTTAGTAAGGCTTTCCTAGCTGCTCGGTCGGCGTGTTGGAGTACGCGATGGGAGCATGGTTAGGAGGCCCAGTGAGCTGGGAAGGTTGAGCCACAGCGGGTAGAAGTTGGAGTCGAACCTAGTGCTGTGGCCTTAGAGATACCACAACTTAAGAGTGCACTTGGGAGGCAGAGGCAGGCGGACCTGTGGGTTCGAGACCAGCCTGATCTACAGCGCCAGTTCCAGGACAGCTTAGGATACACAGAAAAATCCTCTGCCTGTCCGTCCGAGGGAGGGGATGTCTCACAGGCCATTCTTGGAGGATGAACTCTGATAAGTGGATGCCTTTGGGACCTCAGCTGGAGCTGTGGCTCTTTCTGAATTCATTGTGGGGAGCCAGGCACTTGACAGGTGGTGGGTGGCTGCTGGAAGAAGCTGGAAGATACATGTGCTGAACCAAAAAACTGAAGTGGGGTGGGGGGAATAGGGTATGAGCAAAGAAATGCAAGTAGGAGACTTGGGCAGGCAAGAGGGCAAGGGGTCATGTCTGTGAAGTGTCCCAGCCAAGGAAAACACACACAGGTCAGCCTAGAGTACTGGGACCTCCCTTCTTAGGTGTGGGCATTTAATATAGCAAAGCCTCACTTTCCCTGCCAGAGCCAGTGATAGGACCAAGCACAGAGTAGCCGAAGCCTGACGAACTTACAACCTGCGTTGTCCTAGTTAGAGTTTTTTTTTAATTTACTTATTTATTTGTTTATAAACATTTCCACTTTCTCCCCTCCTCCCAATACCCTCCCATTCCCCCCACTCCCTCTCCTCCTCCCTCTCCAGTCCTAAGAGCAGTCAGGGTTTCCTGCCCTGTGGGAAGGTCAAGGTCCTCCCCCCTCCCTCCAGGTCTAGGAAGGTGAGTATCCAAACAGACTAGGATCCCAAAAAGCCTGTATATGCAGACGAAACAAGACCCAGTGCCATTCTCAATGGCTTCTCAGTCAGCCCCCCTGTCAGCCACATTCAGAGACTCCAGTTTGATCACATGCTTGTTCAGTCCCAGTCCAGCTGGCCTTGGTGAGCTCTCATTAGATCAGTCCCCATGTATCTGTGGGTGAACGCACTCCTCGCGGTCCTGACATCCTTTTTCATGCTCTCCATCCTTCTGCTCCTCATTTGGACCTTGGGGGCTCAGTCCAGTGCTCCAATGTGGGTTTCCATCTCTATCTCCATCCATCGTCGGACGAGGGTTCCCTCTGATCCTGCCTTCCTTGCTCACGTTCTCCCTTCATCTGCTTCTCATTTGGACCTAGGGAGTTAAGTCCAGTGTTCCAATATGTGTCTCTGTCTCTGTCTCCATCCATCGCCAGATGAAGGTTCTATGGTGATATGCAAAATATTCATCAGTATGGTTATGAACCAAGGCCAGTTCAGGCACTCTCTCCTCTGCTGCCCAGGGAACAATCTGGGAACCTCTCCTTGGGCCTGGGAACCCCTCCAGAATCAAGTCTCATGGAAACCCTAAAATGGTTCCCTTAGTTGAGATATACACCTCCCTGCTCCCATAACCATCCTTCCTCCCTCCCCCCATCCCATTCCCCCAAGCTATCCCCAATCCTCCCCCTCTCCCTTCTCTCTAACCCTCTCCCCTTACTTTCATCCCCCCCCCACCGTGCACCCAAGTTTGCCTGGCAATCTTGTCTACTTCCAATATCCAGGAGGATAACTATATGATTTTCTTCAGGTTCACCTTTTTATTTAGCTTCTCTAGGATTACGAATTATAGGCTCAAAGACCTTTAATTAAGGCTCGAATCCACTCCTACAGCTGATAAACACCTTTAGTAATGCGGCAGGATACAAGATCAACTCCAAAAAATCGGTTGCCCTCCTATACACAAAGGATAAAGAAGCAGAGAGGAAAATCAGAGAAACATCACTGTTATTCCATTGGGATACTTTAAGAACTAACCACGCCCATCCCAGCCACTTTTGACCCTCCTCCCGCTGCCATCTTCTCTCTCTCTCTCTCTCTCTCTCTCTCTCTCTCTCTCTCTCGCGCGCGCGCGCGCGTGCGCGCGTGTGCGCGCGCGCGTATGTGTGTATATGTATCTTTTTTCTATGTTTGTCTATGTTTTCCTTTCTTTAAGTAATAAATGTCTAGCTTTATGTATAGCCTTATGTCTATTTACTCTGTCGTCCACCGTATCCAGCCGTTTGACTCTGCCGCTTGCCCCGGGACCCTGACTCCCCCCGCTGCATGGTGCTGCCACTTGCAGCTGTTCCGCGAGCTGCCTGGGACATCCGCTCATACTCTTTTTAAAAGAACAATATTTTGGTGCCGCGGACTCGAGAGATTCACCTGCCAAAGGCCAGAGTTCCAGCTTCACCTTTTGTCTGGGACCCTGACCCCCAATTTCCGGGACTGAATCGGAACCAAGGACTTCTCAACCCCGCCAACTGCCTGGACTCATTCCTACAAACAACACCGGCTTCTAATTGTAAGTTTCCTCACTCCAGCCAGCTTATCTGAGCCTTTTTTAACCCGGGATTTACCGGTCCTCCCGGTGTTTCTGGGCTCATGGGGTACTTCTCCGCCCTGTCGCTGGCATCCATTACGGCTTGTGTCCTCTGTTAAGCCCGTGTATTTCTCCACCTGGGGACCCGGGGTTCCCAGGCTTCTTCCTCTTTATTTCAGCCTTTTCTTCCTTCCAACCTTTCTCCCGGACGTAATTGGCTGATCTGGTTCGGCCTGTACCCCCCACATGTGGAATTGAGGACGCTCACCCACATGTCCTGGGTGGTCGATTTGCATCTCACCTAAAAGGGGAGCTGTTCCCCATAGGCTCGAGATGCCACGGTTTTTTTTGCGGGTTTTTCATGGTCTTGACCTGGGAAAGCAAGTTGTACCAGCCTAAATATGCCTTAAATTGTCTGTTTATGTGGGTTTTTCACGATTCAGACTCTGCATAACAACCAGGCGGCCCCCGGCTTTTAAAATTCCCGGGGTCTTTCCATTCAAGCCACAACACGTGGCCGCCGCCATGTTTATTGGGGTCAGGTGACTTTATCACTAGATTCACTGAGAGCCAGATCACGGGACCAGGCCCTCCCACTGTTATGTATGTCCCGCTTTCCCCTCCCCCTCCTCAGTGTTCACTGAAATCTCTCCTTAGCTGTAATTACAGGTGTTTTGCATAGTGATGTGCTTTCTGATAGGGCCCATCAGAAACATACACTTTGCCTAATTCCTGTTCTCTATGTATAATGATTGTTCATTTCATCTCGTTTCAGACTACAAAATCATAAACTGGTATGTACTTTTAAGCTGTTTTCTACCATTGTCAGTTCTGCCACTAATCTTAATGTTACAAACAGTTTTTTTTCTTTCCGTCTGTCTTTTTACAAATGTGAATCTTACCTATTAAGAGTCAATACAGTCAAACTCAAACCCAATCTTCCAGACAGATTCTATATTGCAGCTATACCTAATAATCAGCCCTCAACTGCTCAGAGATCTGGGGAATGTGATATTTAAATGTTTAATTATTTAAAAAACTTTTCATAACAAAAAGAGACAGGTTGGCTCCTAGCAAGCACTCTGTTTCCTCCAAGAAGACAAAAGACAGACGGTCACGACACTGACCAACGTCCATCTGCAGTTTGCTTCGACTGCCAAGCGCTGACCATTGGGCAAAAACTGCCTATCACCTAAACTGGAGACCTCCAAACGTGGACAGGATCACTGGAATCGACAGCCTAGCTGCTCAGGTCAAGGTAGGCCTGTCTTCCTAAAGATTTCTTGGTCCACAGGGTCTTCAAAAGCCTGGCAGGCTCTACACTAAACAAAAAGGTCAAATACAACCTTCACGACCAGGGAGGACCAAAGAGTAGCTCTGGGTGCCAACCAAGTAAGTTTTCTGCCATTTTTTAATTAGTAACTCAAGTAAAATCTTATCCTTCTCAAAGATCTCTGACAGTCTGATAGCTGAGAGGTTTTGCCAGGTTGTCTCACCAAATAAAAATACTTTTCACTATAATTTCTGTTTTTACAAACCCAAGGAGTTCTTAATACAATGTATATGTCTAATAAGTTCCAGGGAGCCAAATTAAAAAACTCACCGTAAACAGGTCAGATACAAACCTCTCAATTCCCTGGTCCTAAAATTTTTTCTCAATTTAACTTTGTTCTCTTTTCTGCCAATACCCTAACCAGGTACAAGGGACATTTCCATGCCACAGACACCTGTCCTGTCGGGAGCAGAGACCAGCTATGCCAGGATGTGACCAACACCCAGCTTCTCTCGGATCTCCCTCACCCCCACACCCCCCAAAATGACGCCCACAAATCAGCTGGAAGCAGTCTTGAGAATTCGCCGCCCCAATTCCTTCAACCTGTAATGTCTAACCTTCTACTTTTTATTATAAAAAGGATCCAGGAATGTTAGTCTTCTGCTACCACTTTAAGAACTAACCACGCCCACCCAGCCACTTCTGACCTCCCCCTTCGCCATCTTTCTCTCTCTCTTGTGTGGTTGTCTCCTGTCGTGTGCACACGTTTTTCTCTGTCTCTGTGTCTTTATGTCTTTATATTTGTCTATCTCTGTCTCTCTGTTTTTCTATTTCTTTTTAAGTAATAAATGTTTACCCTTATGTTTATTTACTATGTCTTGTGAGCCTTTTATCCGTTGTAACCGCCCGCCTGACTCCCCGGGCCGCATGACGCTGCAGGGACTCATGGCCATCCTTGTCGGACTCCGCGAGCCGCCCGGGACTTCCCATCATCATATTCATCATAAAAGAACAAAAATCACCTTTCACGATAGCCACAAATAGCTTAAAATATCTTGGGGTAACTCTAACCAAGGAAGTG